CTTTCCCTAGTGCTCCCCTCTCCTGCCACTTCCCCTGTTTGTGCCGTGGAAGACGCTTTCCCTCCTACTTCACCAGATTGCTCTTCCCCACGGGCCTGGCTGCAGCTGCGACGTGGTGCCGTGTGTGTGCCTTCATTGACATGCTCTGCCCTGGGTACCAACACACGTTTCTCACCCTCCCATAGCAGTATACCTCTCCCTTCATTTTTTCTTCATTTTCGCTTTGCACTGTCCTGGATAGTGACAGAAATGTTCTCCCTAGCCTTGCTTTTATTCCTGTCTATTCTTCTTTCTCACCCCAGCTGCTCAGCACTGACTGATTGCTTATGAGGATGCTGGTAGCAAGTCAGCACCCATCTTACTTAGATGAGGGCAAGGAGCTGTGAAAGCCATCCTGAGGTAGGGTTACCACTGCAGCCGTGCCTGCGTGGCTGGCACCGTGCTGAAGTGGCTCTCAGCGGGTTCAAGAGGGATGCTTCTACAGGAATAACTGCTCTGTGTCATGACTTGCTCCACGTGTGGCTCCTCAAGGTTGCAGTTTTTCTCCTGTCTGTGTTTTCCATTTCTGTCTTCATCTGAGGATACAAACCACCTGGCTTCACCAGTGACCTCTAGGTACATTTAGGTCTTCAAAACAAGAAGAGTCATAATTCTTGTCTAGTGGCCCCCATCATGAGTAAAGCAGAAACTAACCTGGTTTTGTGCCTCCTCCTCAGCCTTTTGAGCTCCTTGAATGACTGAGTGTTCTGGTTACCCTGAGTTTATTTTTGAATATGTACGGGGGTAGCTTTCTGAGCTGTGTGACTAGCAGCTGTGGCCTGTGGTTTGGTCTGGCTTGTCAGAAGGAAAATTGTGTGTTTAGGGTGGCATTTAGGTTTGTTTATGTCTGATCCCATTCTGATAGATGGAAAGAAATGAGAACAAATAGAACAGACTCGTCTTGAGGTGCAAACCGGTCACTACCTGGCTTGAAGTAGTCCAGGCAGCGGCTGTGACGTACCAGGGGCCAGAGCAGTTGTGGCCTGATGCCAGGGTGAGGGCTGCCTTCCCCTCTCCTTGCTCTCTTGTTGGGTCCTTTCATGTGACCATGTCTCCGGGTTGAGTGCCGTGCTGGGCCAGCTTGGTGCTGAGGGGTGGCCACACAGCATGTCCAGGGAAGGGGCAGGCCTGCAGTGCACCCTTGGAGCAGGACAGACCTGCAGGGCGAGGGATGGCTGGAGAGCAGCCCCCAATCCTCACCATCGCAGCAGCTCTTGCTGGACGCCTGCAGTGGGGCCAAAAGCTCCTGCAGTGCTACCATGGGAGTAGCTGGACCCCCAAGACAGCAGCAGAGCAGCAGGAGTTGGGAGCTGCAGCCCTCTTATGTGCCTCTGCCCCTGTTCCTCCAGCTTCGGTTGTGCCTGTGCAAGGAGGGGTTGCTATACACTGTGTGCTTTGTGGAACAGCAGCATCAGTTTATGAAGAGCAGCTTGCAGTCCACCTATCACAGATACGGAGACAGCGAAAGAAAGCCAACTCAGGGCTGAGTCCCATGCTGGATGGTGGCCGGGACAGTGATGCCTTCGGCTGCAGCCCCCACTGCATCGGCACCACACCGTTGCGGCCTCTCGCAGACTCCAAGGCATGCCAGAGACAGCCGGTGGTGCAATATATGATTCACTAGCCAGCCGTGTTTGCTGTGTGACATCCCCGGAAAGGATTGCCCGGTTGCCGTGGCCCCCCGGCAGGGTGGCCAGGCTCGTGCACTGCTGCTTTCCTGGTGGCTGGCCTTGCCGTGGCCGTGCCCCTGTCTTCCACCGCTGGGCATTTGTGAGCTCTCTGCCTTGGCAATACAAGTCCCTTAGCAGTTCTGAGTGCAGTGAGGAGCCAAAGTTGTTTATATTTATTCAAATCCCATTTAGCATCCATCAGGCTTAAAATTCCATGACTACCCTCTGATACAATTTTGTTTGATAGGGAAATAATTAATTCTGCAATTAAGTTCTGCCCAAAACAAATGATGGAAAAGCACTCCCTCCGTATGGGCTAAATTAGTGCCTGCTGAGACACAGAGCCAGCATCTGTCTGGTTTAGTGACGCTTCTTTTAAACAGTCAGAGCGGGGTACAATACATCCTCCTGTGATTTTAGTGATGGCTTAATCTTAAACGGAGGCCCAGAGAACACTTGGAAATGCCAGCTCAAGTATGTTTCAGTTGGTTGGCAGTGAAAAATGAGCTTACGCCTATGTCTCTTTTCCATTTTAGGGAAGTCATTTTAAATGTGAGCTTGCTGGTCAGGTGGCCTTTGCTTATGCCTCAAGCAATGAGGGGAACTCTGGAGGAAAAAAAAAGCCACTCCACAGATTGTGAGGTACCGTAGGCATTGAGCCGAAAATGGTGATATACTCACAAGATAGTATGCTCAAATTTCAGTATATTGCCTCTTCCTCCAAATTTCTATAGTGAGT